TATTAGACTTTCGTGACATGTATCCCAAGCTTGATAGGTTAACCTAATTAATTATAGGTTAACCTGTCAAATTTTTTTTCTATTTAGTTATCATGACGTGAATCTAAGTTTTGACGGGTTAACCTGGTTAATTCAGATTTTTTTTTTCTTCATTAGTTTTTTTCTTTTTGTTGATTTTTTTTATTTTTTCAATTAATCTATTTAATTATCACACTTTTATGACACGACCTTGCAGCCAGACCTACATCTAAGACTCTTGGGTTCAATGTTGCAACCAGATTCACTTAAATTTAAGTCATGTAAGTTTAATATTATTATAAATATTATAAATATTACTTTTGGGTTAAGCATTGCAGTTAGACCAAAGGCTCTTGGATATATCTTTGCAAAAATACATAACACTCTTAGATCTTAGCATTTTTTTATATTTTTTTATGCAAGAAAAAAAATAACTCGTGGTGTGTGCCTTTGTTTTGTTCTTTTTCTTTTTCTTTTTAAGCCTTTCATCGTGGATTGCGCAATGTAATCAGTGAAAAAGATGATGGTTTTAGTTTCTTTTTTTGTCTTTTTATCTTTTTTATTTATTTTGTAATTATTCTTTTAATTTAGTTTCTTAATATTAAAATTTTTCTGTTTAATTATTAGATTTTCATGACACGGATCCTAGGTTTGACTGGTTAACCCAATTGATTAAGATTGTTTTTCTTTTTCCTCATTACTTTTGTTCTTCCGATTTTATCTTTTAATATTGTATGTAGTCCATAGTGAAAAGATTAATGCCTTTAGTTTTTTTCTTTTTCTTTTTATGTCTTTCACTGTGGACTACACAATACAATCCACGGTGAAAAAGTTGATGTTTTTTTTTAATTAATTTTTTTATTTAGTTTGTTGATATTAAATTTTTTTCTATTTAGTTATCAGACTTCCATGACACGGATCTCAGGTTTGACGGGTTAACCCAGTTAATTTAGATTTTTTTTCTTTTTCTTCATTATTTTTTTTCTGCACGTTGGTTTTTTTTCTTTGTTTTGTTTTTTTTAATTAATCTATTTAATTATCACACTTTTATGACACAACTTTGCAGTCAGACCTATATCCAAGATTATTAGGTTTGGTATTGCAGTTAGACCCACTTAAACTTGGGTTTTTCAAGTTTAATGTTATTATAAATATTACTCTTAGGTCCAGCGTTGCAGTCAAACTTAAGACTCTTGAATATAACTTTGTAAAAAAATCTAATACTTTTAGATCTTAGTTTTTTTTTTAGTTTTTTTTACACAAAAAAATTGACTCGCAGCATCGTGCGAGTCATTTATCTAGTTATATTATTATAGAGCGTTATCCTCAAGGTTGTTAAACCTGGAATGTCTAATGAATTCAATTGAGAAATTCGTAATTTGTAGTTTTAAATTTAAATGAAAATAAAATTTTTTCTCATATATATAAACACCACAATTCTCTCTACAAACTTAATTTCTTTCTCCTAAGAAAACCCTAAATTGAAAATTTTATGGTTAAGCGGAAGCAAACAACCCAAAAGCTTTGTGCTAGTTATTTAGATTTTCTTATCTCTTTGATCTTAAATCCATCCATGTGTACGGTTAAGAATTGGTTCATGGTTAGCCTTGGGATTGAAATAAACTATGGCAATGATCAGAAAAGAGTTATGTTTTGATCACCCTAATCAAAATGATTTTTTGATAAGCTTTTGATAAGGATGGTAGTTACTCCTTTCGAAGAGTTATTAGAGTTTTGACATAACAAATATATCAACTATAGAAAGGCCTATCATATCTCCTACTAGAGGGGTGTTTTAGTTTTTTTTTTTTAATGGTAATTAGAGAATTAATAAACTAGTTTTTGAAGAATAGTGAATGGTTTTTTTATCCTTTTTCATCATCAGCGTCAATTAACAAGAATAATTTAGAAATAAAGTTTATGTGTTGAATAATCAGTTAATCTTTTAATTTTATTGCTTTGATTATTTCTTAGTCAAGATGACTAATAGCTGATACCTAGTATGTGGTAAGTTAAAATGATTGGTGATTGATACTTATAATAGATCTCCTTTTGTAAATTTAGTGAGTTTATGATGCTTAAATATTTTTTTTTGAGAAAATGTTAATATCTATTAAAGAGATAGAATCTGAAAATATATATGCTAAAAATTCTATCAACTTTAAAAGATTTATTCTTTTCTTCTAAAAATTCAATAGGTCTTTATATAGTTCATGATTCTTTTTTTTTTTTATCGAGGGGAGAACCCTAAAGTTCTCCTTTTCTTATAATATTAAAATATCTTTTATGTATTCAAGAGGGGAAAAAAATCTTTAACTCATCACAGAAAAAAGGTCTTTGACTTATTATAGGGAAAAAGATCTCTGACTCATCAAATCGTGTTGTTCAATATAGAACATTATAAGATTATTAGAGCCACATGTATTTAGGTTCAACGCTTGACTAGTTTCAATGATGTTAAATCTTATAGTTTGTTAGATCCATGTATGTTTGGGCTCAACACTTGGCTAAATTTAATGATGTTGAGTCTGATAATTCTCTAAATCGATTTATACAAATTTGGGCTTAGCGTTTGGCTTAGCCTAAAGATGCGGAGTTAAGTAGCTAACCAAACTCATTTATATTTAAGCTCAAAAGGATATTAGGTTTGGTAACTCGCTAAACTAATATATGTTTGGGTTCAGTACTTGGCTGAATCCAAAAATGCTACATATGGTAGCTCACCACACCAATCTATATATTTGGGTTTAGTGTTTGGTTGAGTCGAAAAATGCTAGGTCAATTAGCTCATTAGATCCATCTATACAAGAGCTTAAAAAGATGCTGGTTGATAACTCACTGGACTTATACATGCTTGAACTCAATACTTGATTAAATTTAAAAATAATAAATCTAATTATTTATCAAATTAATATATACTTAAGCTCAGTCTTTAACTATTTTTAACGAGATTAGGATATCACCTTACCTTTATTTCCTTAATTTGAACATGGATTTTAAGTAAATAATATGCTTAATCGAATAACTTCATAAAATCAAAATATTTTATGTAACTTGATTACATAAACAACAATATTTTACTTGCTTTGTTATATAAAAAGCTAAAATTAGCTCGATCCGCTTACTAAGAAATGACAATTCATCTAAATTTTTATCATTAAACTATGCACTAGTTAGACGTATAAACATTGTGTGTTGAAAGACCACTAATGATATAGGTTATGATTTAAAAAAAAATAGCTGTGATAATAAAAGAAACGGTGTGTGTATGTATATATATATAAACATAATTATACATGGGCAATAGTATAAAAAAACCTATTAACCTAATCTAATAATCTTTTCTTTATAATTAAAAAAAGAGCTATCACAACATATCTTCAATACTCTAGACACCATCAGAAGAAACCTCATTAAGTAAATTGTGTAATTGATTTTTTATTATAATTCCATGTTTTATTAATTTTTTTATTTAATGGTCACATCAATTCAGACATCAGAGTCTTGACACCGCATGGATTGCCTTTCCTAGAGCCAGCACTAAACATGGATGTTTTTTTTCTTGTTCTTTTTTACCTTACAATATATATGTATATCATTCTTCTTTTGATCTTTTTTTATCTGAATATATATGACACTCTTGACCTAAGGGCAGCATTCTTGACTTAAGGGCAGCACTTAAGGGCACGATTAGTCTTATATGTATAACATTATCACGCGATATCGCGCGGTGGATAAATCATGCTAACTTGCGACGTAGCTACTTTACTTTAATTGACGTGGAGGTAGGTCCTGGTGGTCCCTTATAAATAAGGAGATGGAAAGCTCCCACGAGCACGAAGAAATTTCATTTGCTTTGCTTTTGCTTTTGCTTGTCCTCGAAATGACAAACTTCTGGAAGATCCTTAGAAAGACTGATACTGAGAAGAGGCTGTCAGTTCCTATCAGATTTCTCAGGTCTCTTCCACCTTTCAAACTAGGCAGCCATGCCGTCACGTTTGAAGCTACAGACGAGAAAGGCAAAGCTTGGCCCTTTCAATGCTCCATCCGCAAGAGAGGACAGTACCCGAAGCCAGTCCTCACAAGAGGTTGGGTTGCATTCGTTAAGAGCAAGAAGCTGCGAGTTGGTGACAAGGTCAGGTTTATCAAACGTGAGAACCGAGCTACGGCAACAATCTCTTACAAAGTTCGTGCTGAAAAGGCAATCAAGATCTTTGGTGCTACATTTGGCTACGCACGGATCTAGTCCATTTCCCTAATTAATAAGCTAGCAAATAATAGTGACGCTATGTTCAAGGTGATGGTGAGAATGGTGGGCGCCTACAAAACAAAGAAGAAGACCAAATCCACCCTGCGGCCGTACCACATGCATATATTTATGGCATTAATGTTTTTACAAAAATAGTCTTATGATTCTCGTTGCGATAATCTGATACTTCGCATCTGGGTGATGAGATGTTGTTAGTTTTTCATCCAAAATTGGAACACCGGGTCAATTTTTTCATTAAAATAATGTTGCTTTTTTTTATTTATTATTGATCCGATTAGTTCCAACATGTCACTAAAATTCCGGTCACATTGAAATGATTTGTTCGTAATAATATTCAATTAAAAAAAAAAACCAGCCCTAATCTACGTCCTGAATTTTCCGAATCAATCAACAAAGCCAAGTAAAGTTTAACAGCTATAATCATTCATGACTAAGAAAGCCATTATCACAAGTGAAATAAAGACTACATGACATTTAGGTTATAATTGGATTGACATGAGCAATAAATCTTAGAGGTGTGTGCTCGACTGGTAATAGCCATAGCATCATGTTAGGTCGGAATGGTTCGTGCCTGCAAAAATGATTGAGTATGACCGTACCAAAGCCGAATTCAGCTGTTCCCCAGCTGATGGTTTTATAGTCTGTCTGGTATCATCTTCACTACCTCTGGCTGTCTTCTTATTAAGGTTTAGCCAAACTAAGGGTAGAATCATTTTTCAAATAAAGCTTTATAACATTGCAACATTTGACAAGCCACTTAGATATCAAGCAGCACTGCATTTGGAAAAGGTTGATCTTCTTCGATTAATCGACTGTACAAATTACACGAGCAAGATCACAACTGCTAATTACACTCCCAACAACAATTTCTATCTACAGTACTTGCGCGAAATGGCTATCTAGAGGTTTCATCAACACATAGATCTTGTAAATAAGAGAGCTGATCCATTGACCCCGCGCAGGACTAGCAGTCTGGAGTCCACATATGTTCCACAGACGAGCCTAGACAAATCAAACATCTCAGGCGGAACTTGCACACGAATTTCGTGAACTATACTGCTTGGTGTAACATCATTTTGATCCAGGTTGTCCCCGAGACTCATTGTCACCTCAATGTCAGCTGAAACAAGTTTAGCCACAGGAAGGCTCGATGGAAACTCCTTATACGGGACTAGTTTCCTCCATTTTTTAGCTGACAATTTCTGGGCTAAAGAATCTTGATTGTTTGGTTGCCCAAAGGATAACTTCTCTGATGTCTTTTCCTCCTTAAGATACAACCGTCTCCCGGATGTCAACCTGAATACAGAGTTTACTTCCAATTTCCCAGTTATACCACTTTTGTCATGAGGCCAGTCTCGACCATTCATCACTGTGAAGCCAATGTCCGATGTGAAGGAAATACTAGTATTTAATTTTGATGCTCTATTTATAGTTAGATAAACATCACCAATCAGGACACGAGCAGAAGGCTGACGAAGGGTCAATCCTATTTGTCTCCCAGTACAGTATAATAGACGCCATTTTCCTGGAAGCAACTCCAACCAGTTCTGCACATTGAAATAGAGCAGAAATTTCAATATTAAGTAACCTTTGAGAATAACAAAGCCTCGATCCCAAGCTCATTGGAGATAGATGGTAAAAGCATAATCAATCAATAAAATGTTTCATGTTCTACCAGAAGGAAGAATCCAAAGAATATTAGCTGAAGAAGGACACCAGCTAAAGAACCAAATAAGTTTCTAGCTTCCTTTTCTTTCTATTGTATCAATGCATTTAGCAGTTAGACCATTTCAACTAAAGTGTTCCCTTAACAAAACGAGAGAGTAAATGGCAAAGAACAAGTGACCATAAATTAGAAGAAGCCTTTGAAAGAAAAGGGGATGGATGATACAAGTAATAATATCTTTGAGGCAACTAGACATAGACCCTTATGACTCTTTGGAGAGCAAAAGAATTAATGAATCTACAAAAGCTACGAACAAAGTAGATAATTGCTAACCTTTGGCCTTGAATGAGCATTCAGCATCTCCATCAATTCGATAAAATAGGAAAGCCTATTACGCTATCACATCAAAATTCACCAGTCAGTTTACATTGTCAATGAAATGTCATTGCGAGCTATAAACCAACACCAGATATATAATGAGTTTACATGCAAACGTTTAGTAGTTCAACTAGAAATAGAAGCACGCTAAGATATCTTTCAAGTAACAGGAAATTAATTAGTAACGCTAATTGTTCCATCTCATTCTTATGCTTCCCTAGAATAACAGGGCACTTTCTAGGTTCACAAAGCCTCTGATAAATGATCAAGATGCATGGTTGCGCTTCTCTATGCTCAGAACATGAAACTTTCAAAATTTCCAGCTAATCACTCAAGGCACTGGCTTGAAAGAGTCACAACCAATGAATCCATCTGAATGACAATAGAGAACTTAGAAATGCTAGCTGTAGACACCTGGGGCTGCTTATAAATGTATTCCTCCGTAATTCGAACTGCAGTGGAGCCAAGACCCCATCTGATGATATCCATGGATGGCGCCACCCGCCATCTTGGTCCACACAGAAATGGATGTCTGAGGGCATCCAAACAACTGCAAAGCAAATCAAAATAGTCATCATAGATGCCTCATCTCTCTCAAATTAATTCAGATTCCATTCAATATGGTTAACCTCGTGTTGTCTTTACTATTGTCTAATAAGAGATGAACTGATGAATACCTTATTCTTTTGGAAGGTTTGGTTGCCAATAACAAGGATAAAAGGTTCCAACCGGCACCCCAGTTCCGATCGAGTATCTAGAAGAAAAAAAATGAACTTAAACATCCTAATAATTCATGTGGCTTTCACTTATAAAAAACAATCTTTATAGATATTGTGAAAGGAGTAGCTTAAAGTTTGGTAATTTGCATTCGTACTACTTACTTGAAGTCCAACATTTCCAGATGGAGAATTCCTACTGAGGATTTGCAATAAAAATTCACGCAAGCATGAAGGATCATTCCCCTGCACTCAACCATATGCCAGTACAACTTCTTAGGATCAGTACCAACACATGATGAGTAGTGCATGATGATAATATAGGATCAAGAAACAGGTAGAAATTAATGAAGAGAAAACTTGATCTTATCCAGAGATGTAATGCAAGTCAAAAAAAATTCCACCAGGTTCTGGATTGATTAATCCAAAAGCTTGACAGGAAAAAAAAAGTTGTGCATGTGTGTTGGGGGGGGGGGGGGGGCGCTAGCATGTTGTACCTTCATGAGTAATGATTTGAACTTCAAGAAAATTAATGGATCCATGAGTTCCCGCAGCACCATTTTTGCCATCATAAATCCTACACATCTTTTCAACATGGATGAAAGAGAATTCAGTACATCAGCAGCTCTGCTAGCAGCACTAACTGGATACACTTTTAGGTCTATCTATCTATTCATACCTCATGTCAAATGCAATCATCATCTGCCGTCTGTCCATGTTGTTGTCCAGCGTGCTACTATTTGGACCATCCTCGTAAAAGTCAGCAGCATTCCCTAGTATCCCTACCTGAAAATTTGGAATTTCAGAAGTTTCACTAAGTAAGACATCAATGCAAGAAAGAAACCACATGTTACACAGCTTAATCAATGACGTGGTGCTTTATAGCAGAAGTTATGGAGCAGAAAACAGTGGATGGTTGTACTCATGTGTGGGAGGTGCACTAATTCAATGGTGCTGGTTCATTCATGTCTTGTTTCGTTCCCCGATATTTGTGCTAATAAACCTCTCCTCAACCATAAGTCTAGAACCACCAAACTTTCAAAGCAGAATACCAGAAATAAAATTTGACTTCACTAGATCAATGGAAATTGTTGTGCATGACAACACAAATCAACAAGAGTTTTCCTCAAACACCCTTCTCCTAACAGAATTGCTTTCCCTTATCTATATATATCGAATTTAATTCTAAATTCAGAGAATATAAAATTCAAAAACAGCATGAAAAGGGGGAAAGCTTGCATTTACTTTAATATGCCTATCCACTGGGCTTATATGCACATTCTCCAGCCTCAACTCTGTATGCGCAAGTCCATGACTGTGCAAGTAGTTCACCTTAAGTAAGCAAAGCAAACACCTTACACTTTAGTTGTGCACAACAAATGGCAACTATTTGTGCACAGATAATACATCATGAATACAATTAAGATATACATACTCCAATCAAGAGATCCCTCATCAATATGCGTGTTATTCGCAACTGCCGAGAGACAGCAGGTCCTCCAACCGTGTCATCTCCCACCCTCCTGACAGATTCCTCATCCAATGCCAGAGTGGCTTCCAAGTGGCTTCCAAGGTAGGAAGCCTCATCCAATGCCAGAGTGGCTTCCAAGGTAGGAAGCCAATCTGATTGTTGAAGCCAATGTCTCAAAGAAAAACTACCATGATACTGCCATAAAATAAAAGGGAAGAAATGAACTTTCAAATCCCTAAACTCACAAATGGAAAAATTGAAATATGAGAAGAACTGCTTCCACACGCAACATGCAGAGAAATGAAGGCTCGTCCAATAAACAGAAAATGTCCAATAGGGGTCTTGTAGAAAGACTAACCTGCCTAGCATAAACAACTAAATGGCTTCACACAACGAAACATTTAATGCATTCGCAATATAAAAACCTTACTCAGAAACAGAACATACCCCATGTACCAGAGTAAACGAACCACGGCCACTAGTAGGTGAAGAAATATAACCATAAACTTGCATTGAGTAAGAATGGTACATAAGTTTACGGCGAACCAGCTTCTTCAATACCTAAAAACACTTTAACAACGCCAAGGTTACACCAATATTCAAAACCTCAAATACAAAATAAACAAAACTCCAAAACAAAGCCCCAAACCTCTATTGCTCGCATTCCTCTACGTTTTGCTTGAGTACTGACAAGTTTCCTAAGCACAACTTTAATGTTATGCAAAGGGCTGCAATTCCACATTATACTCGTTACCTCCAATAATCACACAATATCACAAAATCAATAAGAAAAGAAAGCCAACCTATTAGAATCCTTCACTAGTGCTTCGAAAACCACCTCATCCGCCTAAAACAAACCCCAATTCAGTTATCCATGCCATAATTATCAGTGCTAAGAACAATCAATTTTGGACATTAAACACTATACTTAGTGTTAATAACCGAAAATCACAACGAAATTAACAATATTTAACAAATAAAGATGAAAAAAAAATTGAAGTAGAGTTTTCTGGCTTACCCGGCCACCAAGGCCAATACTGACACGATCAAGCACCTTAAAATCAGACATCTTGAACCTCATAACATCTCCTCCTCCTCCTCCCTCCTCCTCAATCACACATGTCCTTCCATCTCCTTCCGATTCCAACGGAGCCACGGCCTTACTCGACGACGAACACCTCACCACCGTCCCCACTTCTCTCCTAGAACAAATACTTCTCACACCGATGATACTACCATTAACACGTCGTTTAATCAGTTTCTTCGTCGACAAAATATCAGAAACAGAACAGAACCCGACTCCATATATTGCCGCCGTCGCCGCCATCAATCGATCAATCCGTTACAACTCTCAGAATTTGTTTGATCCAGAGAGGAGTTAGTTAGCAGAAGGAAGGAGAGGAAAGTGTGAAGAAATAGGGAAGAGAGTGTGAGAATTGCGTGAAGGAATACAGAGCCCTGGGCTTGGCTCGTGTCAATGTCTGTTTTTCGAAATATCTCCGGCATTTACCTCCTGTTATTTTCTGTGTTTTGCGTTCCGTGCACACTCCTATCTCCGCCACGTCACTTTTCGTTGGTGTCCACGTTTTTGTTTTGGAGCTCAAAAATAATTATATTATAGCAGTGCTATTACTGTGTCGTGCATGGTGGTTAAGCACGGTTTTTTTAACATGTTTATTTAAAAAATTTATAACTAATTTGGATTGTGTTTTAAGTTGAATTGAAAAAAAAAAGAATTAATAAAATTAATTGATTGAGTTGGATTGATACATGACTTAAATAATATTTTTTTATTTAATATGAAAGTTTTCCAAATCTTGACTAGATATAATCAGTTAATGATATAAAATTTAATTTATAAAATCTTTTAATTATTAAAAAAATTTAATTAATATGATTTAAATAAATTATTTGTGAATAAAATATAATTTTAATGAATTTTTTATTTTTTTAAATTTAATTCTTGATTTATAGTGGAATAATGATAATAATTAATTTTTCAACCTTTTAGCTTTTAAAATTCATTATAAAAAAAATGAATGATTTTTTTAACATGAATTTTTCATGTTTTTAAATACTCTTTCTAACCTTATATTTTAATATTTTATTCTCATTTTAAGTTTTAGTTTTCTTTTCAAATCTAAAAGTTATATTCTTATTGTTATTGTTATTGTTAAGAGGTATTTGAGTTTTATATTTTTTTTGGTTCAAAAATCTTATTTAGAAGTGTATCTAAAGCTAGGTAGTGTTATTGGAATCTTAAAAGATATATTATAAATATCCTAATTATATAATTGAGAAGCAATAGACATTTAAGAATAATAAATTCTTCATTGATAACAACAAAAATTTTATTATTTTAAAATACTTCAACAAATAAGTAATTTTTTTTTGTTTTAAGTGAAGCATATATATTTTTATTATTAACATCCTGCTAGGAAATTAAATTAATAACAATTGTAAATTTAGATACATATTTAATATGTTAGTATGTATGTTAGTGTTTTATTATTATATTTATGTTGAAAGCAAGTTTACCATGATTTATTATTTTGTATTTAAACTTATATAAACTCTAAACTTTTTTTTAAAACATTTTTATATTTAGCATGTTTTATTATGATAAATTAAATATTATTATTTATTACTTTAATATATTTACAAACTTTGAATCTACACTAACCAAATTTAAATGCTTTTCAGGTGATTCAATTATGACAAATCCATAACTAAATAGTCATTTAGCATGGTCAAGCCTCCTTTTAGGCGTAGTTTTGTCCTAATAGTTCATAAACAAGACTACTAGGTTTTTTACATGATTCAAATGTGGCAGATTTGCAACTAACCTTTCAAAACCACCTAAACCTTCAAACCCTCCAATATTAAAATGTCAATAATTCTGAAAAATAACATATAAAATTATTTAAAATAGCATCTAATCCGAACTAACTAATAAAATCTTAAATTAAATAAAACTCTTAAATTAATAAGGAAATGAATTTGAAATTAATAATGAAAATTTTAAAAAAATATGAACACCAACTTTTGAACCTAAATGCATGAAAATGACCTCAACTAGTTACAAAATGATCTACTAGATGCTTAGATTTATAAAATATGCTAGTAAAGTTTTAACATGATTTAACAATTAGCTTAAAAGTTAAAAATTTTGTATTTTTTTTTTGTAGGAAACTTTTTAACCCATTTAAACCATTTTTAGATTTGAACTTGTTGATTCAGTCCATGAATGATTTGTTAGGCGTTCTAAGTGTCTAAACAAGTTCAAGAAGAAGTCTTTCTAGTATTGAACGTGGTAACAAAGAATACGCAAACTAACAAAATTCATGCAATATTAAAGATTATTCCATTTCAACTTTACAAGAACAAAAGAAATTAGTGGATAATTTGGCAGACCATTTTGGCATCTTATTGAGGATTTAAATGATGGCATTACGATGTGTAATGATAAGCATCAATTTACTATGGCTATCTCCATTACAACGATCAAAATCGCATCTATCAAAGGAGAAAGGGCATGGCGTTGCAACTTGTACAAGAAGATCAAGAACAAGCTTTTGTAGCTTTGAACTTGGCAACAAAAGACACAATTGGACAACTTATTGGTATTCATAATGTTCAGAAAGTACTTTTCTCTTTTATGAACAAGAGAATGAGAAATACTTTGTTTGCAAAGGGTTACAAACAAGTTTTAGCTATTGATATTAATGAGGGATTGCATTTAATATCGTTTTATTACGTTTCTATTATATTTATATAATGAGGGATTGCAATGAATATCCAATTATCATGTTTGTAATATATTTATATTCTATCAAATATTTATGATGTAAGAAGTTTAAAAAATTATACCTTATTTATTAAATTTTAAATATTCATACTATAATATAAAAAATCTATATCGATGAGGGTTGATGATGTAAACTAATTTGAATTAAAAAAATAAAAGAGAAAAACTAAGATGATCTAATAACAAACATAGATTAACTTGTTATCTTATCTGTATAAAATTATGATAAAATATTTATTGATTTTTTATAAAAAAATTAGTTAAAATGATATTATTTTAATTTTTTTTTTAAAAGATTAAACTGAATTAATTATCCAGCCTATGTTCAGAGCCTTGGTCAGGTTTTCAACTATGATTCCCGCGTGTATTTATTATCCAAGTCCTATCTATTATTCAACTTCGTCGATGGTGGCTTGATGTCATGGATTTCTTCAGTCGTGGTTGTTGGCTACTTGGGGAGGAGAAGATGGGTGGCTAGGGTTTGGGGTAAAATATGTTAAGGGCATGTTCAGATAGGAAAATCAATATTAGATTTCATGGTGTCTATGCATCACACCTAATTTTTTTGGGTTTTTGGATCCCAATAACAAAAACCAGGACTCTTATCACAGTTTTGTTAGGCATATATTGAGGGAAATCAAATAGGCTTAGGTTTACATAGAGGTAAGAAATAGGATTGTTATGTTATTGCTCTATTTGTTTTTAAAAAAATAAAAAAATTATTTTTTTTTGTTTTAAAATAATATTTTTTGATTTTTTATATTATTTTAATATATCGATATTAAAAATAATTATTAAAAAATAAAAAAAATATATTTTTAAATAAAAGTATTTTGAAAAACAATTATTTACTACATATAATTGATATAGAGATAATCTCAAACTCAGGCTTAATTATACTAATATGAGACTGGTTTAGCAAGGTTTCATGTGGATATGCTGGCCATATATATAAAACCATTACGAGAGCATACAGCAAAATGATCCTTGAGATATTCTCAACTTGTCTTTGACTTTTTTTATCTAAACATTGCACATAGAAAATGTTAATTATGAGTATATTTGTTATTATGATAGCTTTTATAATTAAGATTTAAAAAAATTAAGTTTTGAAAAATTATTTTTCATTATAGTTGGTGTGGTTGAAATATATATTTGATTTAAAGTATGGTTTAATTTCATGTTCATGAAAAAATATGTCAAAAATATTTGATTAAAAATTGTACTTCAATTTAATATTTATAATAAAATTAACTAAAAAGACATGAATCATAATCTTAATTTTTAATTATATAAAAATTAATTTCACAATCAATATTATATTGTAAAGAAACCTAAACATAATAAAACTTTTTATTTTGGAGTTATTGATTGTAATAACGAGGGCTATTCTGTTTTTTTTCCTGCAGTTATGGAGAAATTATTGACATATGAATGAAAAGAAAAGAATGTTGCAATGATCATTCTTGTGGGTTGTGCGATGATAATGGTAAAATGAATGAGAAGTGAATGCGAAATTGTTGTTGCAATTATGTAAAATGAATGAGAAATTAATGTGAAACGAAAAAGAGGGGAAAAAAAAAAGAGGATACAAAGGTAATTATAAATGTTTTTAGGCAGTCCCAAAAGATGAAGTTGTGGTCCAACATGCAAAAAGCAAGAAAAATTGCTTTTTCAAAACAGAGGTCCGAGCTCAAGCAAGTGGAGTCTATTATGTTTATATACTTTTAAAACTTGTAATCAAACACTTAATAAATTGTGTTTAAAAAAAATACAAACACTACCTCAAATACAAATACTCTCTAGTAACCTCATGGTTATGCATATCAAGTAACTAAGACGCTGAGAGCGGGAGGTGAAGCTAAAATATACTTGTTCACCCAGGAAAATAAAATTAACTTATAAGGAGGGGGAATTCATGGTTGGGGTTTTATGCAGAATCTCTATGTTGTTTTTTTTCTTCAGCTATGCAATATTGCAATAGCTAGTCTTGTTTTTGTTTTAGACATCTACTTTGGATGCTATGTTCCTGGAATGTATCAGTAATTTTCACGGGCTGGTTCATTAATGGATGGTGGAATTTTGGAGAACTAGACTAGTTTGCTTTGAGATGATGGCAAGATGTGGCTCAAATGTTTGGTGAAAGTTCCAAGATCCACCATTACTATTATTAATATACTGGCTTCAAAAAATTTAAGGCATGTAGCTTTACTAGTTAGAATTTTTATTTGTTTTTTGAAAGTTATCAATTTGAATATTACAAATTTCAGAATTATTGAAAGCTTATTTATTTATTAATTTTAAAACCTTAAAAAATTAATCTTGTAAATTGGATACTTGTAAACTGCATTGGATACCTATGATTACTAAAAAAATAATTAGTTCCAAGAGAACTCAAAAAGGTCGCATGGATAGTGCATGAGCTCACAAGCTTTCGAGAAAACGACAGAAACTCTTGCAAGTATATGTAATGAGAGGGCTAAAATATGATATGGTTAATGTAATGTGATGGTTTGATGGATGCTCATAATGCTAGAAAGGAATTTGTGTTTATGAAATGAGTTTTGAAGAACTATGGATAGTATTATTATAATTATGAAGATGATTTTGTTATTTTAAAGCTCATTATTAAAATGAATATAATAACAAACCTTTAAAAGCAATTTTATAACTTATAAAAATATAATTTGATTAAATTTTTTTCAACTTGATATTTTTTTAATATTAAAATAACAATTTATTATATTGATTTAGATTAATCTATATTAATATATCAAATCCATAACCCGAGTTATGAAACTATGATAACATTATAGAAAATAAATAAAAATAAATTATGAAATCTAATTTTCAATCAACTCAATGCTAAAAGATGAAATAATTTAAAAAAATCAATTTAAAAAGGACTTAAAAAAAGACCTAATTAACACGTCAAACTCATGACGTGAATCATAAGGATCGAGATAACTCTATAGAAAGTAAATAAAAATAAATTATAAATTTTAATTCTCAATCAGCTCATTATTAAAGCATGAAATTAAAAAAAATTAATTTAAAAAAGGACATAAAAAATAACTTCAATTAGTTAAACCCTTGATCGGGTTATCAAACCAAGATAACCTTATAGAATGAAAATTTTTAAACATAACCTGATTTAAACATGGCTAACCTTTTAAATTTATGACTTTGATCATAAAACTAAAATAACCTAATAGAAAATAAATCAAAATAAATTATGAAGCTCTATTAACAATCATCTATGTTGAATTTAATATTAAATGATAAAATTTATAAAATAATTAATTGAAATATTGACAAAAAATGAGTCAAGTAAATTCAGGTTAATCCATTAAGCACTATCTCTAGACTCATGATTATGAAACTGGGATAACCTAGTAAAAAGTAAATCAAGACAAATCATGAAACCTAATTTTTAATTAAATATAACATTAAATGAAAAATTTGGGAAAAAAATCAAATAAGAAAAGAAAATAAATTAATTGGGTTAACCCGTCAGAACCACAACCTGGGTCATAAGATAGTGATAACTCAAACAAAAGCAAATCCATTGTTGAAGAACAAATGATCTAGATTATAAAATTAAGATAACTCGTAGAAAAAAATAACTCAATTTAACTGAGATTAAAATATCAAAACCCAACCGATCCAATATTAAATAATAAAATTAGAAAAAAAATCACTTTGAAAGGACACAAAAAATAACTTAAATCAATTCTAGTTAACCCGATAAGTACTATTCTCGGATTATGATGCCAAAATAACATAATAGAAAGTAAACAAAACAAATTACAAAATCTCAATCTCAATCAATTTAATATTAAAAAAAAACTAATTAAAAAACTTTAGTCAATTGGGTGAACTCATGGTTCATCTATATAATGAGAGTGTGATAAGTCTTCAGGAGAAAAATCTAATATTAGAAGATAAAATTTTAAAAATTTTGATTGAAGAAAAATAAAAAAAAAAGAATATAAAAGGAAAAATAAAGAAGCAAACTACTATTTTATTCCAATAAATAGTGATTTATGATTAAAACACCATCTTTTTTTATTTTATTGTTAATGTGTGTGAGTCTGAGTGTGTTTATGTGAAATAAATCTCACATTTATAAAGAATGAAAATGGGAAGCATATTACGTCTATAAGGATTAACCCGATAGCTTAGCTTTTTTTGTTTCATTGAATGTGATGCTTTTTTTTTTAATTATTTATTGGAGAGTATATAATGATATTTCATGGATTTTATGTTTTAATTAAAATTCAATAGTATTTTTAAAAGATTAAAAGTATAAACTGAGATAAATTAAAAAGAATAATTCATGGTTTAATATCAGAAAAGCACGTTTCTCACTCTCCTCTTGCTTGTAGCTAGCATACTTGCACGAGCATTTTTATATAACTATAATTTTTGTGTTGCTCATTTTTTTTTACACAAGGGTCAAGGTGTGCATATATTTTCATTAAATCAACTTCAACCATGAATTATATTTAATAAATAGCATTATATGCATTTTTCTGCTTAAATTTTAAGAATAACCATTTAAACTTCAAGATTTTATTTCATATATATATATATAATTTGTGGACTTTTCTCTTTATTTTTCAGGTTTTTTTTTCGAATTTAGATCAGTTTAGTTAATATTTAAACAAACTTGTATTTTATTTTTAGACTAGATTACTGTTAATGATATTAAGAAATGATCACATCATAGTTTTTCTATAATTTATTTGTAATTTTACATCTTTATAAACTTTTTTTTTTAACAATTTAGAGTCTGAATGAGAAAATTAATTTTATATCATAGTTAATGGAATAAACATAATTTGCCATCTCTTTATTACTCCACTCCTAGGAACACGGATGTCAGATCGATCGCGCGATGAGCTTTGTTTTTTTGTACCTTCCATGGCCCATCGGCGGGTGGGATCGCGCGACTCGCTAGCTCGTACGATAAATCATGTTAGCTTTATAAGTAGCTTCCAAAAAGATAAGACAACGTAAGAAAAGCCAATATTCCCTTTAGGGATAATATTATTCAAACCCTATAAATAAGTAAAAGGAAAGCTCCCGCAAGCAAGAAGAAACCTGGCCATTTCTTTTGCTTTGCTTTTGCTTTTGCTTTTGCTTTTGCTTGTCCTGGAAAATGGCAGTGTTCTCGAAGATCCTCAGAGAGACTGATACTAAAAAGAGGCTGTCAGTTCCTATCAGGTTTCTCAGGTCTCTTCCACCTTTCAAACTAGGCAGCCATGCCGTCACGTTTGATGCTACAGACGAGAAAGGCAAAGCTTGGACCTTTCAATGCTCCACCCGCAAGAGAGGGCAGTACCCGAAGCCAGTCCTCACAAGAGGTTGGGTTGCATTCGTTAAGAGCAAGAAGCTACAAGTTGGTGACAAGGTCATGTTTATCAAACGTGAGAACTGTGCTACTGCAACAATCTCCTACAAAGTTCGTGCAGAAAAGGCAATCAAGATCTTTGGTGCTACATTTGGCTATGCACGGATCTAGTCCATTTCCCTAATTAATAAGCTAGCAAATAATAGTGGCGCTATGGTCAAGGTGATGGTGAGAATGGTGGGCGCCTACAAAACAAAGAAGAAGACCAAATCCACCCTCGGTCTCTACCACATGCATATATTTATGGCATTAATGTTTTAACAAAAATAGCTTTATGATTCTCCTTGCGATCATCTGATACTTTATATCTGGGTGTTGAGATAACTGTTAGTTTTTCATCAAAAAATGGATCTTTATTACATCTCGGAGGGATGACATTTTTTAGGAGGCGAATCTCGACAATTATAATGATCTTAATTGTTAAACAAAATCCAGAGAATATCTAATATATGGGTAACCGGGTCACCCCTGGAGTCAATTTTATTATTAAAATAATATTGCTTTTCTTTTTTAATTGATCCCATTAGTTCGAGCAGGTCAATAAAATTCCGACCACATTGAAATGATTTGTCCATAACAATCACTTATAAAATAAACCAGCCCTAATCTATGTCTTGAATTTTCCGAATCAATCAACAAAGCTAGGTGGAGTTTAACAGCTATAATCATTCATGACTGAAGCCATTATCACAAGTGAAATAAAGACTACATGACATTTAGGTTATAATTTTAGAGGTGTGTTCTCGACTGGTAATATATAGCCATAGCATCATTTTAGATCAGTCGGAATCTAGAGGATGGTTCATGGCTGCAAAATCGATTGAGCATGAACGTACCAAAGCAGAAGCTGTTCCCCTGCTGATGGTTTTATCTTGACCACCTCTGGCTGTCTTCTTATTATATTACGGTTTAGCCAAGTTCATATTAACCTAACATGAGCCCAATTCTTCTTTTGTTGCAAAATATGTATACTTGTCAATATTTCAGAGGGTGCGGTAAATGAAATTATTTTCATAGCGCATTTAACTCAGAAATCTTTACAGAGACCAAAAGAATTAATGAATCTACAAAAGCTAAGAGGATGGTTCATGGCTGCAAAATCGATTGAGCATGAACGTACCAAAGCAGAAGCTGTTCCCCTGCTGATGGTTTTATCTTGACCACCTCTGGCTGTCTTCTTATTACGGTTTAGCCAAGTTCATATTAACCTAACATGAGCCCAATTCTTCTTTTGTTGCAAAATATGTATACTTGTCAATATTTCAGAGGGTGCGGTAAATGAAATTATTTTCATAGCGCATTTAACTCAGAAATCTTTACAGAGACCAAAAGAATTAATGAATCTACAAAAGCTACGAGCAGGTTGTTCGGATAATTACTAACATTTGGCCTTGAATGAACATTCAACATCTCCATCAACTCGATAAAATTGGAAAGCCTATTACGATATCAGTTTACCTTGTCAACCTAATGCCATTGTTAGCTATAAACCAACACCAGATATATAATGAGTCTACATGCAAAGATTTAGTTGCAAGAATAGAAATTGAAGCACACTAAGATATCTTTCAAGTAACGGGAAATTAATTAGTAACACTAGTTGTTCCATCTCATACTTGTGCTTCCCTAGAAAAACAGGGTACTTTCTAGGTTCACAAAGCCTTTGATAAACGATCAAGATGCATACTTGTGCTACTCTGCCCAGAAAAGGAAACTTTCAAAATTTCCAGCTAATCACTCAAGGCACTGGCTTGAAAGAGTCACAACCGATTAATCCATCTGCTTATAAATGTATTCCTCCGTCATTCGAACTGCAGTTGAGCCAAGGCCACAGCTGAAGATATCCATGGATGGCGCCACCCACCATCTTGGTCCACACAGAAATGGATGCCTGAGGGCATCCAAACAACTGCAAAGCAAATCAAAATAGTCATCATAGATGCCAAATCTATCTCAAATTAATTCAGATTCCATTCAATATGGTCTCCCTCGTGCTATCTTTACTATTGTCTAATAAGAGATGAACTGATGAATACCTTATTCTTTTGGAACGTTCGGTTGCCAACCAAACAAGGATAAAAGGTCCCAACCGGCACCACAGTTAGTATCTAGAAGAAACAAAAAACAATCTTTATAGATATTGTGAAAGGTGTAGCTTAAAGTATGGTAATTTGCTTTCGTACTACTTACTTGGAGTCCAACATTTCCAGATGGAGAATTCCTACTGAGGATTTGCAACAAAAATTCATGCAAGCATGAAGGATCCTTTCCCTGCTCTCGTCTGTAAAAGAGAAATTTCGTAACACAATTAACACTCAATATGCCAGCACAACTTCCTAATTAGGATCAGTACCAACACATGATGAGTAGTGCATGATGATACTATAAGATTTCTTTTTTCATAATGAGTAAATAAAGTGACTGCCAATGTCCGCTCTTCAAGAAACTGGTAGAAATTAATGAAGAGAAACTTGAGCTTATCAAGAGACAAAATGCAAGTCAACAAAAAATGCACCAGGTTCTGGATTGATTAATCCCAAACCTTTACAGGAAAAAAAGAAGGGGGACTAGCATGTTATACCTTCATGAGGAATGATTTGAACTTGATGAAAATTAATGGATCCATGAGTTCCCGCAGCACCATTTTTGCCATCATAAATCCTACACATCTTTTCAACAGGGATGAAACAGAATTCAGGACACCAGGATCTCTGCTAGCAGCGCTAATTGGATACACTTTTAGGTCTATCTATCTATGCATATCTCATGTCAAATGTAATCATCATCTGCCGTCTGTCCATGTTGGTGTCCAATGTGCAACTATTTGGACCATCCTCGTAAAAGTCAGCAGCATTCCCTAGTATCCCCCCCTGAAAAGTTGGAATTTCAGAAGTTTCACAAAGTAAGACATCAATGCAAGAAAGAAACAACATGTTACACAACGTAATCAATGAAGCAGTGCTTTATAGCAGAAGTTATGGAGCAGAAAACAGTGGATAGTTGTACCCATGTGTGGGAGGTGCACTCATTCAATGGTGCTGCTTTATTCATGTCTTGTTTCGTTCCTCAATATTTGTGCTAACAGACCTTTCCTCAACCATAAGTCTAGAACCACCAAAATTTCCCATTATTCAATGCAGTTGAAGAGGTACCAAACTTTCGAGGCAGAATAGGAGAAATAAAATTTGACTTCAATAGATAAACTGAGATTGTTGTGCATCAAGTGTTGTCATATCAGAAAGCACAAATCCCAAAGAAAAACTACCATGATACTGCCATAAAATAAAAGGGACGAGATAAACTTTCAAATCCCTAAACTCGCAAACGGAAAAATTGAAATATGGGAAGAACTGCTTCCACACGCAACATGCAGAGAAATGAAGGCTTGTCCAATAAAAACAGAAAATCTCCAACATGGGTGTCCTAGAAAGACTAACCTACCTAGCATAAATAACTAAATGGCTTCACACAACGAAACATTTAATGCATACGCAATATCAAAACCTTACACAGAAACAGAACATACCCCATGTACCAGAGTAAACGAACCACGGCCGCTAGAAGGTGAAGAAATATAACCATAAACTTGCATCGAATAAGAATGGTACATAAGTTTACGGCGAACCAGCTTCTTCAACACCTAAAAACACTTCAACAACACCAAAGTTACAGCAATATTCAAAACCTCAAATACCAAATAAAGAAAACTCCAAAACAAAGCCCCAAACCTCTATTGCTCGCATTCCTCTACGTTTTGCTTGAGTACTGACAAGTTTCCGAAGCACACCTTTAATGTTATGCAAAGGGCTGCAATTCCACATTATACTCATCACCTCCAATAATCACACAATATCACAAAATCGAATAAGAAAAGAAAGCTAGCCTATTAGAATCCTTCACTATTGCTTGAAAAACCACCTCATCCACCTAAAAAAAACCCCAATTCAGTTATCCATGCCAGAATTAGCAGTGCTAAGAACAATCACTTTTGGACATTAAGCACTATTCTTAGTGTTAATAACCGAAAATCACAACGAAATTAACAATATTTAACAGATAAAGATTTTTTAAAAAAATTGATGTAGAGTTTTCTGGCTTACCCGGCCACCAAGGCCAATACTGACACGATCAAGCACCTTAAAATCAGACATCTTGAACCTCATAACATCTCATCCTCCTCCTCCTCAATCACACGTCTCCTTGCGATTCCAACGGAGCCACGGCCTTACTCGGCGACGAACACCCCAGCACCGTCCCCACTTCTCTCCTAGAACAACTGCTTCTCGTACAGATGATAATACCATTACTACGTTGTTCAATCAGTTTCATCGTCGACAAATTATCAGAAAGAGAACAGAATCCGACTCCATATATTGCCGCCGTCGCCGCCGTCAATCGATCAATCCGTTACAGCTCTAAGAATATTTTTTGATTCAGAGAGGAGATGGTTAGCAGAAGGAAGGACAGGAAAGTGTGAAGAAATAGAGAAGAGAGTGAGATGCGTGAAGGAATCCGGAGCCCTGGGCTTGGCTCGTGTCAACTTCTGGTTTTCCGAATATCTCCTACATTTCACCTTCTGTTATTTTTTTTGCCTTTTGCGTACGGTGCACGCTCCTTTCTCCGCCACGTCACTTTTCGTTGTTTCCCACGTTTTTGTTTTGGAGCTAAGTACTAAGAAGATAATTATATTATTAGACTGTTATCCTCAAGGTTGTTAAACCCAGAATGTCTAATGAATTCAGTTGAGAAATTCGTAATTCGTAGTTTTAAATTTAAATGAAAATATAAATCTTTCCTCATATACAAACTTAATTTCTTTCTCCTAAGAAAACCCTAAACTGAAAATTCTATGGGCAAGTGGAAGCAAACAACCCAAAGGCTTTGTGCTAGTTATTTAGATTTTCTTAACTCTTTGATCTTAAATCCAGCTATGTGTATGGTTAAGAATTAGTTTATAGTTATTTTTTAGATTGAAATAAAATATAGCAAAAATTATAAAAGAATTGTTTTGATCACCCTAATCAAAATGATTTTTTGATAAGGGTGACTGTTATTCTCTTTAAAAAGTTATTGGAGTTTTGACATAACAGATATATAAATAACTATAGAGAGATTTATTATATGTCCTACTAGAAGAGTGTTTTTGAAGAATAGTCAATGATTTTTTTAATTTGTTTTCATTAGCAGTGTCAATTAAAATTTAAAAAGAGTAACTTAAAAATAAAATTTATGTAACTTAGAAATAAAATTTATATATTAAATAATCAGATAAACTTTTAATTTTATCGTGTTGATTATTTCTTAGTCAAGATGACTAATAGCAGATACTTTACTTTTGGACATTAAGCACTATTCTTAGTGTTAATAACCGAAAATCACAACGAAATTAACAATATTTAACAGATAAAGATTTTTTAAAAAAATTGATGTAGAGTTTTCTGGCTTACCCGGCCACCAAGGCCAATACTGACACGATCAAGCACCTTAAAATCAGACATCTTGAACCTCATAACATCTCATCCTCCTCCTCCTCAATCACACGTCTCCTTGCGATTCCAACGGAGCCACGGCCTTACTCGGCGACGAACACCCCAGCACCGTCCCCACTTCTCTCCTAGAACAACTGCTTCTCGTACAGATGATAATACCATTACTACGTTGTTCAATCAGTTTCATCGTCGACAAATTATCAGAAAGAGAACAGAACCCGACTCCATATATTGCCGCCGTCGCCGCCGTCAATCGATCAATCCGTTACAATTCTAAGAATATTTTTTGATTCAGAGAGGAGTTAGTTAGCAGAAGGAAGGAGAGGAAAGCGTGAAGAAATAGAGAAGAGAGTGAGAGATGCGTGAAGGAATCCGGAGCCCTGGGCTTGGCTCGTGTCAACTTCTGGTTTTCCGAATATCTCCTACATTTCACCTTCTGTTATTTTTTTTGCCTTTTGCGTACGGTGCACGCTCCTTTCTCCGCCACGTCACTTTTCGTTGTTTCCCACGTTTTTGTTTTGGAGCTAAGTACTAAGAAGATAATTATTAAGTAATATTTTAAAATGCGTGGGGAAAGCACTGTAGCTTCCCCACGCCTTTTAATTATACTTATATATAATAATAATAATTATTATTATTATATGTAATAATATTTATTATATTATTATATTATTATTATTATTTTCGTTTTCATTTTTTTCTGTTTTTATTTATTTATTTTTTATGTTTTTTATGCCTTTATAGGTTTTTTTTTGTTTTTTTTTGTGTTTTTTTCTTTTAATAAATTTTTTTGTTTAATTTAGTTTGTTAATGGTAAAAAAAAAAATTTATTTAGTTGTCATATTTTCATGACACGGATCTCGAGTTTCACAAGTTAACTTGGTTTAACGAGTTAACCAGAAATTTTTTTTTTTTGCTTTTTTTTCTTTTTAATTATTTTTTTTTGCTTAGTTTAGTTTGTTAATGTTAAATTTCTTTCTATTTAATTATCAAACTTTCATGACACGTATTCCGAGATTAACAAGTTAACCCAGTTAGTTATGGGTTAACCCGTTAATTTTTTTTCTATTTAGTTATTAATTTTTTATGACTCGAATCTAAGGTTTGACGAGATAACATGGTTTGAACGGTTAACCCAGTTAATTCAGATATTTTTTCTTCATTAGTTTTTTTCTTCTTGTTGGTTTTCTTATTAATCTCTTTAATTATCACACTTTTATGACACGACTTTACAATCAGATTCACATCTAAGGCTCTTGGGTTCGGTATTGCAATCAGACTCACTTAAACTTGAGTCGTGTAAATTTAATATTATTATAAATATTATAAATATTATTCTTGAGTCAAGCGTTGTAACTAGACCAAAGGATCTTGGATATATCTTTGCAGAAAGACATAACATTCTTAGATCTTAGCTCTTTTTTATATTTTTTATGCAAGAAAAAAAATTAACTCGTGGTGTATATAGTGCAGTCCATAGTGAAAAAGCTGATGCTTTTAGTTTTTTTTTTATCTTTTTATTTTTTTTGTAATTATTCTTTTAATTTAGTTTCTTAATATTAAATTTTTTCTGTTTAATTATTGACTTTCATGACACGGATCCCATGTTTGACAGGTTAACCTGGTTGATTCAAATTTTTTTTTTCTTATTAATTTTGTTCTTCCGATTTCATCTTTTAATATTGTATATTGTCCATAATGAAAAGGCTGATGCCTTTAATTTTTGTTTTTGCTTTTGCTTTTTTCTTTTCTTTTTATGTCTTTCACTATGTATTACATAGTACAGTCCATGGTCAAAAGATTGATGTCTTCTTTTTAATTAACTTTTTTTTATTTAGTTTGTTGATATTAAATTTTTTTCTATTTAGTTATCAGACTTTCATGACATAGATCTTAGGTTTGACAATTTAACCCAATTAATTCAGATTTTTTTCAATGGTTTTTTGCTTCATATTGGTCTTTTTCCTTTGTTTTTTTTTTAAATAATCTATTTAAATATCACATTTTTATTAAACAACCTTGTAGCCAGATCCATATCCAAGACTATTGGGTTTGGTATTGCAGTTAGACCCACTTAAACTTGGATTTTTCAAGTTTAATGTTATTATAAATATTACTCTTAGGTCAGACGTTGCAGTAAAATCTAAGACTTTTAGATATAGCTTTGTAAAAAAACCTAATACTTTTAGATTTTAGCTTTTTTAATATTTTTATGCAAAACAATTGACCCGCGGCATCGCGCAGGTCATGTAACTAGTAGCATACTCTAAAAGGCGTGGGGAAAGCACTGTAGCTTCTCCACGTCTTTTAATAATAATAATAATAATAATATATTATAATATTTTTTTTCGTTTTCATTTTTTTTGTTTGTTATGCCTTTATAGGTTTTTTTTTCTTCTTTTTATAAATTTAGTTTGTTAATGAATCTCGAGTTTAAAGGGTTAACTTGATTTGACGAGTTAACCCGGAATTTTATTTTATTTTGCTTTTTTTCTGTTTAATTAATTTTTTTCATTTAATTTAGTTTGTTAATATTAAATTTTTTTCTATTTAATTATTAGACTTTGATGACATGTATCCCAAGCTTGATAGGTTAACCCAGTTAATTATGGGTTAACCTGTCAAATTTTTTTCCTATTTAGTTATCATGACGCAAATCTAAGGTTTAACGGGTTAACCTAGTTAATTCAGATTTTTTTTTCTTTTTCTTCATTAGTTTTTTTCTTTCTGTTGGTTTTTTTCTAATTAATCTATTTAATTATCACATTTTTATGACACGACCTTGCAACTAGACCTACATCCAAGACTCTTAGGTCCAATGTTGCATCCAGATTCACTTAAATTTGAGTCATGTAAGTTTAATATTATTATAAATATTACTCTTGGGTCAAGCGTTGCAGCTAGACCAAAGGCTCTTGGATATATCTTTGCAAAAATACATAACACTCTTAGATCTTAGCATTTTTTTATATTTTTTTATGCAAGAAAAAAAATAACTCGTGGTGTGTGCCTTTGTTTTGTTCTTTTTCTTTTTCTTTTTAAGCCTTTTATTGTGGATTGCACAGTGTAATCAGTGAAAAAGCTTATGCTTTTAGTGTTTTTTTTTTTATCTTTTTATCTTCTTCTTTTTTGTAATTATTCTTTTAATTTAGTTTCTTAATATTAAAATTTTTCTGTTTAATTATTAGATTTTCATGACACGGATCCTAGGTTTGACTGGTTAACCCAATTGATTAAGATTGTTTTTCTTTTTCCTCATTACTTTTGTTCTTCCGATTTTATCTTTTAATATTGTATGTAGTCCATAGTGAAAAGATTAATGCCTTTAGTTTTTTTCTTTTTCTTTTTATGTCTTTCACTGTGGACTACACAATACAATCCACGGTGAAAAAGTTGATGTTTTTTTTTAATTAATTTTTTTATTTAGTTTGTTGATATTAAATTTTTTTCTATTTAGTTATCAGACTTCTATAACACGAATCTCAGGTTTGACGGGTTAACCCAGTTAATTCAGATTTTTTTTCTTTTTCTTCATTAGTTTTTTTCTTCATGTTGGTTTTTTTTCTTTGTTTTGTTCTTTTAATTAATCTATTTAACTATCACACTTTTATGACACAACTTTGCAGTCAGACTCATATCCAAAATTATTAGGTTTGGTATTGTAGCTAGATCCACTTAAACTTGGATTTTTCAAGTTTAATGTTATTATAAATATTACTCTTAGGTCCAGCGTTGCAGTCAAACTTAAGACTCTTGGATATAACTTTTTAAAAAAATATAATACTTTTAGATCTTAGTTTTTTTTTAATTTTTTTTACACCAAAAAATTGACCCGCAGCATCGCGCGGGTCATTTATCTAGTTATATTATTATAGACCGTTATCCTCAAGGTTGTTAAACCCGGAATGTCTAATGAATTCAATTGAGAAATTCATAATTTGTAGTTTTAAATTTAAATGAAAATATAATTCTTTCCTCGTATATATATAAACACCACAATTCTCTCTACAAACTTAATTTCTTTCTCCTAAGAAAACCCTAAATTGAAAATTTTATGGTTAAGCGGAAGCAAACAACCCAAAAGCTTTGTGCTAGTTATTTAGATTTTCTTATCTCTTTGATCTTAAGTCCATCCATGTGTACGGTTAAGAATTGGTTCATGGTTAGCCTTGGGATTGAAATAAACTATGGCGATAATAAAAAAAGAGTTATGTTTTGATCACCCTAATCAAAATGATTTTTTGATAAGCTTTTGATAAAGGGTGGTAGTTACTCCTTTCGAAGAGTTATTAGAGTTCTGACATAACAGATATATCAACAACTATAGAAAGGCCTATCATATGTCTTACTAGAGGGGTGTTTTAGTTTTTTTTTTTAATGGTAATTAGAGAATTAATAAACTAGTTTTTAAAGAATAGTGAATGGTTTTTTATCCCTTTTCATCAGCAGTGTCAATTAACAAGAGTAATTTAGAAATAAGGTTTATGTGTTTAATAATCAGTTAATCTTTTAATTTTATTGCTTTAATTATTTCTTAGTCAAGATGGCTAATAGCCGATACCTAGTGTGTGGTAAGTTAAAATGACTGGTGATTGATACTTATAATAGATCTCCTTTTGTAAATTTAGTGAGTTTATGATGCTTAAATATTTTTTTTTGAGAAAATGCTAATATCTATTAGAGAGATAGAATCTGAAAATATATATGCTAAAAATTCTATCAACTTTAAAAGATTGATTCTTTTCTTCTAAAAATTCAATAAGTCTTTATATAGTTCATGATTCTTTTTTTTTTTCGAGGGGAGGACCCTAAAGTTCTCCTTTTCTTATAGTATTAAAATATCTTTTATGTATTCAAGAGGGAAAAAAAATCTTTAACTCATCATAGAAAAAAGGTCTTTGACTTATCATAGGGAAAAAGATCTCTGACTCATCAAATCTTGTTGTTCAATATGGAACATGATAAGATTATTAGAGCCACATGTATTTAGGTTCAACGCTTGATTGGTTTCAATGATGTTAAATTTTGTAGTTCGTCAGATCCATGTATGTTTGAGCTCAACACTTGGCTAAACTTAATGATGTTGAGTTTGATAGTTCTCTAAACCGATTTATACAAATTTGGGCTTAGCGTTTGGCTTAGCCTAAAGATGCGGAGTTAAATAGCTAGCCAAACTCATCTATATTTAAGCTCAAAAGGATGTTAGGTTTGGTAACTCGCTACACTAATATATGTTTAAGTTCAGTACTTGGCTGAATCCAAAAATGCTATGTATGGTAGCTCACCACACCAATCTATATATTTGGGTTTAGTACTTGGTTGAGTCGAAGGATGCTAGGTCAATTAGCTCATTAGACTCATCTATACATGAGCTTAAAAAGATGCTGGTTGATAACTCACCAGATTTATATATGCTTAAACTCAATGCTTGATTAAATTTAAAAATAATGAATCTAATTATTTATCAAATTAATATATACTTAAGCTCAGTTTTTAGCTATTCTTAATGAGATTAGGATATCACCTTACCTTTATTTTCTTAATTTGAACATGGGTTTTAAGTAAATAATATGCTCAATCGAATAACTTCATAAAATCAAAATATGATTACATAAACAATAATATTTTACTTACTTTGTTATATATTGTTATATGAAAAGCTAAAATTAACTCGATCCGCTTAGCATCTATTAGTGTAAGAAATGACAATCCATCTAAATTTTTATCATTAAACTATGCACTAGTTAGACGTATGAACATTGTGTGTTGAAAGACCAATAAAGATATAGGTTATGATTTAACAAAAAAATAGCTGTGATCATAAAAGAAACGGTGTGTGTGTGTATAAACATAATTATACATGGTCAATAGTATAAAAAAACCTATTAGCCTAATCTAATAATCTTTTCTTTATAATTAAAAAAGAGCTATCACAACATATCTTCAATACTCCAGACACCATCGAGAGAAACCTCATTAACTAAATTGCGTAATTGATTTTTGATTAAAATCCCATGTTTTATTAACTTTTTTTATTTAATGGTCACATCAATTCAGATTTCAGAGTCTTGACAACGTAGGGATTTCCTCTCTTGGAGCTAGCACTAGACATGGATCTTTTTTTTCTTTTTTTCTTACCTTACAATATATATGTATATCATTCTTCTTTTGATCTTTTTTTATCAGAATATATATGACACTCTTGACGGGCACCATTCTTGACTGGCTACTAGCATTGTTTTTTGTCCTTGCCATCTATCGAGATCGCACGATTAATCTTATATGTATACCATTATCACGCGATATCGCGCGGTGGATAAATCATGCTAAATTGCGACGTAGCTACTTCACTTCAATTGACGTGGAGGTAGGTCCTGGTGGTCCCTTATAAATAAGGAGATGGAAAGCTCCCACGAGCACGAAGAAATTTCATTTGCTTTGCTTTTGCTTTTGCTTGTCCTCGAAATGACAAACTTCTGGAAGATCCTTAGAAAGACTGATACTGAGAAGAGGCTGTCAGTTCCTATCAGATTTCTCAGGTCTCTTCCACCTTTCAAACTAGGCAGCCATGCCGTCACGTTTGAAGCTACAGACGAGAAAGGCAAAGCTTGGCCCTTTCAATGCTCCATCCGCAAGAGAGGACAGTACCCGAAGCCATTCCTCACAAGAGGTTGGGTTGCATTCGTTAAGAGCAAGAAGCTGCGAGTTGGTGACAAGGTCAGGTTTATCAAACGTGAGAACCGAGCTACGGCAACAATCTCTTACAAAGTTCGTGCTGAAAAGGCAATCAAGATCTTTGGTGCTACATTTGGCTACGCACGGATCTAGTCCATTTCCCTAATTAATAAGCTAGCAAATAATAGTGACGCTATGTTCAAGGTGATGGTGAGAATGGTGGGCGCCTACAAAACAAAGAAGAAGACCAAATCCACCCTGCGGCCGTACCACTTGCATATATTTATGGCATTAATGTTTTTACAAAAATACTCTTATGATTCTCGTTGCGATAATCTGATACTTCGCATCTGGGTGAAGAGATGTTGTTAGTTTTTCATCCAAGATTGGAACACCGGGTCAATTTTTTCATTAAAATAATGTTGCTTTTTTTTATTTATTATTGATCCGATTAGTTCCAACATGTCACTAAAATTCCGGTCACATTGAAATGATTTGTTCGTAATAATATTCAATTAAAAAAAAAAACCCAGCCCTAATCTATGCCCTGAATTTTCCGAATCAATCAACAAAGCCAAGTAAAGTTTAACAGCTATAATCATTCATGACTAAGAAAGCCATTATCACAAGTGAAATAAAGACTACATGACATTTAGGTTATAATTGGATTGACATGAGCAATAAATCTTAGAGTTGTGTGCTCGACTGGTAATAGCCATAGCATCATTTTAGGTCGGAATGGTTCGTGCCTGCAAAAATGATTGAGCATGACCGTACCAAAGCAGAATTCAGCTGTTCCCCCGCTGATGGTTTTATAGTCTGTCTGGTATCATCTTCACTACCTCTGGCTGTCTTCTTATTAAGGTTTAGCCAAACTAAGGGTAGAATCATTTTTCAAATAAAGCTTTATAACATTGCAACATTTGACAATCCACTAAGATATCAAGCAGCACTGCATTTGGAAAAGGTTGATCTTCTTCGATTAATCGACTGTACAAATTACACGAGCAAGATCACAACTGCTAATTACACTCCCAACAACAATTTCTATCTACAGTACTTGCGCGAAATGGCTATCTAGAGGTTTCATCAACACATAGATCTTGTAAATAAGAGAGCTGATCCATTGACCCCGCGCAGGACTAGCAGTCTGGAGTCCACATATGTTCCACAGACGAGCCTAGACAAATCAAACATCTCAGGCGGAACTTGCACACGAATTTCGTGAACTATACTGCTTGGTGTAACATCATTTTGATCAAGGTTGTCCCCGAGACTCATTGTCACCTCAATGTCAGCTGAAACAAGTTTAGCCACAGGAAGGCTCGATGGAAACTCCTTATACGGGACAAGTTTCCCCCATTTTTTAGCTGATAATTTCTGGGCTAAAGAATCTTGATTGTTTGGTTGCCCAAAGGATAACTTCTCTGATGTCTTTTCCTCCTTAAGATACAACCGTCTCCCGGATGTCAACCTGAATACAGAGTTTACTTCCAATTTCCCAGTTATACCACTTTTGTCATGAGGCCAGTCTCGACCATTCATCACTGTGAAGCCAATGTCCGATGTGAAGGAAATACTAGTATTTAATTTTGATGCTCTATTTATAGTTAGATAAACATCACCAATCAGGACACGAGCAGAAGGCTGACGAAGGGTCAATCCTATTTGTCTCCCAGTACAGTATAATAGACGCCATTTTCCTGGAAGCAACTCCAACCAGTTCTGCACATTGAAATAGAGAAGAAATTTCAATATTGAGTAACCTTTGAGAATAACAAGGCCTCAATCCCCAGCTCATTGGAGATAGATGGTAAAAGCATAATCAATCAATAAAATGTTTCATGTTCTACCAGAAGGAAGAATCCAAAGAGTATTAGCTGCTGAAGAAGGACAACAGCTAAAGAACCAAATAAGTTTCTAGCTTCCTTTTCTTTCTATTGTATCAATGCATTTAGCAGTTAGACCATTTCACATAAAGTGTTCACTTAACAAAACGAGTGACCATAAATTAGAAGAAGAATTTTGAAAGAAAAGGGGATGGATGATACAAGTTATAATATCTTTGAGGCAACTAGACATAGACCCATATGACTCTTTGGAGAGAGCAACAGAATTAATGAATCTACAAAAGCTACCAACAAAGTAGATAATTGCTAACCTTTGGCCTTGAATGAGCATTCAGCATCTCCATCAATTCGATAAAATAGGAAAGCCTATTACGCTATCACATCAAAATTCATCAGTCAGTTTACATTGTCAATGTAATGTCATTGCGAGCTCTAAACCAACACCAGATATATAATGAATTTACATGCAAACATTTAGTAGTTCAAACAGAAATAGAAGCACACTAAGATATCTTTCAAGTAACAGGAAATTAATTAGTAACACTAATTGTTCCATCTCATTCTTGTGCTTCCCTAGAAAAACAGGACACTTTCTAGGTTCACAAAGCCTCTGATAAATGATCAAGATGCATGGTTGCACTTCTCTATGCTCAGAACATGAAACTTTCAAAATTTCCAGCTAATCACTCAAGGCACTGGCTTGAAAGAGTCACAACCGATGAATCCATCTGAATGACAATAGAGAACTTAGAAATGCTAGCTGTAGACACACCTGAGGCTGCTTATAAATGTATTCCTCTGTAATTCGAACTGCAGTGGAGCCAAGACCCCATCTGATGATGTCCATGGATGGCGCCACCCGCCATCTTGGTCCACACAGAAATGGATGCCTGAGGGCATCCAAACAACTGCAAAGCAAATCAAAATAGTCATCATAGATGCCTCATCTCTCTCAAATTAATTCAGATTCCATTCAATATGGTTAACCTCATGTTGTCTTTACTATTGTCTAATAAGAGATGAACTGATGAATACCTTATTCTTTTGGAAGGTTTGGTTGCCAATAACAAGGATAAAAGGTTCCAACCAGCACCCCAGTTCCGATCAAGTATCTAGAAGAAAAAAATCGAACTTAAACATCCTAATAATTCATGTGGCTTTTACTTATAAAAAACAATCTTTATAGATATTGTGAAAAGAGTAGCTTAAAGTATGGTAATTTGCATTCGTACTACTTACTTGAAGTCCAACATTTCCAGATGGAGAATTCCTACTGAGGATTTGCAATAAAAATTCACGCAAGCATGAAGGATCATTCCCCTGCACTCATCCATAAAAGAGAAATTTGGTTACACAGTTAACACTCAATATGCCAGTACAACTTCTTAGGATCAGTACCAACACATGATGAGTAGTGCATGATGATAATATAGGATTTTTTTTCTTATTGAGCAAATAAAGTGACCGCCAATGTATTCCAGTCTTCAAGAAACTGGTAGAAATTAATGAAGAGAAAACTTGATCTTATCCAGAGATGTAATGCAAGTCAAAAAAAATTCCACCAGGTTCTGGATTGATTAATCCAAAAGCTTTACAGGAAAAAAAAGGTGTGTGTTGGGGGGGGGGGGAGGCATTTTGAACCTTAATGGGGGTGTGTGTTGGGGGGGGGGGTAGCATGTTGTACCTTCATGAGGAATGATTTGAACTTCAAGAAAATTAATGGATCCATGAGTTCCCGCAGCACCATTTTTGCCATCATAAATCCTACACATCTTTTCAACATGGATGAAACAGAATTCAGTACATCAGCAGCTCTGCTAGCAGCACTAACTGGATACACTTTTAGGTCTATCTATCTATTCATACCTCATGTCAAATGCAATCATCATCTGCCGTCTGTCCATGTTGTTGTCCAGCGTGCTACTATTTGGACCATCCTCATAAAAGTCAGCAGCATTCCCTAGTATCCCTACCTGAAAATTTGGAATTTCAGAAGTTTCACTAAGTAAGACATCAATGCAAGAAAGAAACCACATGTTACACAGCTTAATCAATGATGTGGTGCTTTATAGCAGAAGTTATGGAGCAGAAAACAGTGGATAGTTGTACCCATGTGTGGGAGGTGCACTAATTCAATGGTGCTGGTTCATTCATGTCTTGTTTCGTTCCCCAATATTTGTGCTAATAAACCTTTCCTCAACCATAAGTCTAGAACCACCAAACTTTCAAAGCAGAATAACAGAAATAAAATTTGACTTCACTAGATCAATGGAAATTGTTGTGCATGACAACACAAAGCAAAAGGTGTTTTCCTCAAACACCCTTCTCCTTACAGAATTGCTTTCCTTAATCTATATATATTGAATTTAATTATAAATTCAGAGAATATAAAATTCCAAAACATCATAAAAAGGGGGAAGCTTGCATTTACTTTAATATGCCTATCCACTGGGCTTATATGCACATTCTCCAGCCTCAACTCTGTATGCGCAAGTCCATGACTGTGCAAGTAGTTCACCTTAAGTAAGCAAAATAAACACCTTACACTTTAGTTGTACACAACAAATGGCAACTATTTGTGCACAGATAATACATGAATACAATTAAGATATACATACTCCAATCAAGAGATCCCTCATCAATATGCGTGTTATTCGCC